TATATATATATATATATATAATCTTGATTCAACTGAAGTCATTATTTACAATTATAATAAGCTGACTATATATATTTTCAAAATAATTAAATGTAAAATAATGTTAAAAACTCAATAAGATCTAATTTTTCATTAGAATTCGTTTTCTCAGAATTTAATTACAATCAGGTTTGCAGGAATTTTATCTTCTACTTAATATTATCATATCCAATACTTTACACTATTTGTTTGGTAGACATAAATTAAAATAAACTCAAGTTGTTTAAAATAAATTGAAATAAACTCAAATTGTTAAAAATAAATTGAAATAAACTCAAATTGTTAAGTTGGAGATTGTCAAAGTGTTTAAAAATTACCACACCTAGTACGTTTTGTTTGATTACTATGTAATATACGTTCGGCTTGCAGTTTCAAAATAGGAACAATAATTATAGTTGAAAATAAAATTTCAGTAAAATAATTTAATAACTAAAATATGCCTTGTGCATATCTGGGGGTCCTTCGTCTCGATTGTATAGGGTTGTGGCATATGAAACAATAACATTTTAAAGGTGTCAGCAAACAATGAAAATTCTTCTTGGGTATTTTTTGTGATTAAACACAATATATAAGGTCTCTTGCAGTAAAAAATCTTATATTCATAGAATATCGCTATTAAGTACTGGAAACTGACTCTTCAATTTATTTGAGGTGGTCTTGTGTAGGTTGTATTCGTTATTTTGTCGAATATGTTTTAACTACTTCTATGAAACATAAACTACCTTTATAACAATCTATAATCGATGTATAGGCCTACATGTTTTAAATGCTGTAAATTTTTCCAACTTCACAGAATGGTTAGAGCAGAGTTCACACTTCTGGTTGTGGTAGGTGTTGGGCTACTAAGCAATAATGTGTTTTCATCACCTTTACCTAAAGTACACAGCAGAAAACAATTTGACATCATCTCCGAGCTAAAGCACAACATAGAAATGGCCATAGTAGCGACTCTTCACCAAGCCAGAGACGCAAAAGGTACCAGCGGAGCCACAGAAGTAAACTCGTTTAATGACCAGATCGTCGGACCAAAACAGATCCGTGACCCAGGCCTGGACGACTATGGAATGGGCATGATGTTTGGAAAGCGATCCCCAGACAATGCATGGAATGACCTTTTAGAAGAGGATACTTTATGAAGAACATTTTTCAAACAGTGATACTTCCTGAAAAAAAATAAGAAAAATGATGGCACTGTCCAATCAACCAAAAAATACAGCCATGAATTGAGAATTCATAAATCAAGAAATCTATTATTTACGAAGGACATTTTGAACTGCCGCTCCAAATATCCATCAAGACTTATGACGTAATACACCTGTATGTGACATCATATAATAAGATGCACCATGTTCTCTGCATCAAATCACGTGGCCCTTTATCAACACGTGCCTTCCGTAAACTTTCGATCGTTTCTACACGATGTTAAATAATTTCTATTGTACATTTATGATTAGTATAAAATAAATGTTAGGACTATTGTTTTAGATTCGCTTGAGTGAGTCAGCTGAACGTCTTAATCGTATCGTTTTAAAAATATTAAAATCACTGAAAGTTTGTGGAAAGTTTATTAAAACCCGGTGTGTTCATTACAAGGAAAGCCAAACACGTACCATGACGTTGGAGAATATTAAGTCAAAATATTATTCCGGAGATTTTAAATTAATGTTGTAGACTTTGAATGGAAAACAGGATTTAATGGTGATAATAATAATTTGATAGGCATGTGTATAGCACGTTTGGTACGGTATTGTCGATACACTGATGATTTTGTCAGTGAAGATGATAATGACGATGTCGGTGGTTGGTGGTGACTGAGATGATGATGATGCTGCTGATGTGATGATGATGTTGGTGATTATTATGATGATGACAATTATGTCGGAACGTGATCATCAAAGAAATTTATCCCCGGTAAATAAAATTCTTAATTGAACCCTGGACGTATTATGTTTTAATGCTTTTTTTGTTTTCTAGATTGTATTTATCATAACACAAATTATCTCGCGTTTGCTTTTATGTAGCAAAGTCAGTAATTTTTATTTGATAGCATTCTGGTAGTGTTCTCTCATCGCCCTGATGTGTTTTAAACTCTCATGAGGTTTCCAAATAATACCACCAAAAATAATGCTAAAGCTTACATGACTAGTTTTTCCTCTTGTATAATTTATTTCTTAAAATGTACATTCGAATTTTATTTCTTGAATTCCATTTGAAAATTCATTAAAAAAACGAGTTAAACACCGCATTTTCAGATATAGTTTCCCAAACTGCATAGAATTAAACATCAGCAAGTTAATACATTTATATTTTAACTATACACATCATGCGTTGCCCACCCCGATACGTAGGTATACAATCATGTATGTATATGTTTGACTTATAAATAACTATGAAACTCTCACCTATCATTTAAATAATGTACATAAATCATTTTGTATAAAAAATTCTTTAAATAACATAGGCCTAATAGTCATCTGTCACCACAAGAATACAAAATTTTCATTAATTCAATTTTAAAACAATTAGAACCGTAGATTTTCCAATGCAAGAGCATAATATATGAGGTTTCTTTTACAAACATTAAATATGAAACCTAATCATAATAATACCAAAGTTATTACGCACTCATATCTTGGTTGAATCAACACAAAGTGAAGTGCGTCTTTTCTACTAACATTTATTAATAATTCTTAATTAAAATAGGCCTGTAGTGACACGATGTTAAAACAAGTTCACAATATTGGATACTTATGTTTACATTTGGATGAATGCTTAACATCGAAGCATCGTGTGCAAAAAAAATCTAGAGTATAAAGATAAGATGGCTGAAATTGTTAGTCAAAGTAAGATTATATCAGATACACTGACTTTATTAAAGACACTATGTGAGCACCATCCAATGGTCTTTGGGCTGGTATCACTGTGTGAAAAATGCATCCGAACAGAAAAATTACATTTAAAGTGACATCAGAACTTCTTACATGTTGCTACCAATTAATTTGAGTTTGGGAGTGAAACTTGCCGTGGCGGACGTTTGAACAATAACAAGACTGCATCCCAGATTGTCTGTTCCACCTTTAGTTGCTGGCGTAAACAACTGGAATAATTTGCCTTTTAGTCAGTAACATTAGTAGCACTACTAAAGCTAACTATTGTATTTAAACCAAGTGTTATGTATTTTTAATGACCATACATAAACCAGTATCATATTTGAAAGAGCTATCAACTTGGATGTGTTATCCTGCTGGATAAAACGAAAATTAATAGACTAAACGCTAATAAAATTCTAATAATATATGATTGTGATGTAGACTCTGGAGTTGCAACACATTTTTTTAAAGTTAATACAAATTGTGTTAATGATTAAATATAAAAATCTGTTGCTAATGTCAGTGAATGCTGTTATAGCGCTGAAGACAAGATTATACCTAAATGTTCAGTAGTAAAGAGAGGGAGCACATGCTTACACTCGATCGTCTGATATGCTCTAAGGCTTACCATCAAAGTTCTGCAGTTTGCTAAGCTAATTACAGAAATTTAAATGACCTCTGAGCATGGCAGCTTCTTGAAGTCTATCAAAGGCTCATCAGCACCTGCACCAGGTAACTTCAGGTCATCACTGTTTTCGACGACGTTCGGCGGCTTCCCGTTCTCGACTGCTGGTGGATCTTTTGGAGTTGTTTCTTTAGGCGGCCCTTTAGGAGGCGCTTCTGGTGTAGGTTGATTCTCGGGCGGTGACGTTGGTGGCGGCGTCGTTTTGCTCGGCTGTGGTGCACTTGGCGCTGGTGTTGGTACTGGGGCTACTACTGGGACTGGCGCAGGTGTTGGGACAGGTGTGACCGGCGGGGCCGACGGCTTTGCAGGAGAAGAGATGATTGGCACGGGAGCTGGTGGTGGAGGCTCCATGACTGGATTTGAAACGCCATTAGGTTTCACATTTTGCCCCATCACTTGATTCCATAGAGCGTTCTCACGTTGTCGTTGATACCTACAATATTTTAATATTAATAGACAAATAAGTACAGTATGAGTATGAGTGTCCAAGTACAGTCACTTGATTTTTCAATAATAAAATAATGATCAAATGGGCAAGAAAAAAATTGACGAAATTCGTTTCACGTACCTTTTACGGCGGAAGTAAGCCATAATGAAAGCCAAGACAATTATTATGATTAATGTTCCAAATATACAACCCGCGATGATGATTGAAAGATAGCTTGCAGCACCTGAAAAAAAAAATCAGATGTATAATCAAATTATTATGCAAATAAATAGGCTGTTTACGGTTGATTTATTAATTTTATATACAATATTATAAACTTACTTTTTGTCTCTTCTTCGTCTTCTATCAAACTACTTGCATTTGCAGACCGATTTCCACCATTAATACCATCTGTCCCATCATCAGTACCATCATCTGTGCCACCATCTGTCCCATCATCTGTGCCACCATCAGTCCCATCGTCTGTGCCACCATCTGTCCCATCGTCTGTGCCACCATCTGTCCCATCATCTGTTCCACCATCTGTCCCATCATCATCGGTCCCATCGTCTGTGCCACCATCAGCACCACCATCTGTGCCACCGTCGGTTCCACCACCATCGGTTCCATCATCTGTGCCGCCGTCGGTTCCGCCACCATCCGTACCACCATCGGTTCCACCGTCTGTGCCACCATCAGTACCATCATCAGTACCTCCATCTGTTCCATCATCTGTACCATCGTCGGTCCCACCACCATCTGTACCATCATCGGTACCGCCATCAGTACCGCCATCTGTTCCACCATCTGTGCCACCATCCGTGCCATCATCAGTACCTCCATCTGTCCCATCATCAGTACCATCGTCGGTCCCACCACCATCTGTGCTATCATCGGTACCGTCATCAGTACCGCCATCTGTGCCACCATCCGTGCCATCGTCAGTACCTCCATCTGTCCCATCATCTGTGCCACCATCGGTTCCACCACCATCGGTGCCATCATCGGTCCCACCGTCTGTACCTCCTTCGTCTCCACCATCTGCTCCATCATCAACTGTAATATATAATCACTGCTTTTAAAGCATACATGTCCTTTGAATCGATGCCTCACTTATATATTATTCTATCAGTCGTCAAATCAAATCTAAAACTCTCAAAAAGTAATTGAAACATTGAATTGTTCACTAAAAAAGTTAAATAGTACGGTACATACATTTCAAATTTATTTCGAAGCATCATTCATCCGTTTGTGTATGTTAAACATTTGAATATACTGATATGTCTGTTTTGATTGACTATACAAAATGCTTGCAAAATGTAAAGCTTAGACTAGTTGAACAATATTCAAACGTGTTACGCAAATGAACGCTAGTATTGCTAGTGTTGTGCTCTAGTGTGAACCAACTTTAAAAAAAAACATAAAATGAACCTACAGGTTTCACACGTTAGACCCGTGAAGCCATCTGGGCATATGCAATTGAAATTGTTTATCCCGTCGATGCAATCGCCGTTCAGACACGGTCCGCCCGAACAATCATCAATATCTGAAATCAAACCGTGTTAATAATAAGTAAGTCCAATATAAAAAATCTTATCATTATGTGGACGAATAGATGCGAGCATAAGCGACCAGGAAGGGCACAATGAGACAGCAAGGGAGTGCGCTGGGGGAGCTGACATCTTGGCCGATGTCTGATATAATTAATATCGGTAATGTTTGCGCCTGCGCATCAGTGATTTGATTAATTCTTATTTTGAAATTACAATATACAGTAATTGTTTCTTCGGATGACGTATTGTGGTCAAATGTCTCGTACATTAAGTGTTTGACGGTGTGTTCAAAACTGGTGAGCGCAACTGTCAGCACTGTCAAATCTCACATTCACACTAACACAAAGTAATTAGTCTGGCGGCAAACCCAAAGCCTAGTGGCACAAAATACATAATAGTAATCTTCATCCCCGCTAAAAAACTTGACTTTTTGTCCCAGTGTCTGTTCGAACAAACGGCAATTCATCCAGAAAAAGCTGACCGTAAGCCACTTCTTTCAAAATTATTTGGTGGTGGTTTGATTGCACGACGACGACGGTGAGATCTGTGACGTAATGAAGTTATATAATCGCATATGACGTCACTGTTTTCTAATGTTCGAGTCGGATGTTGTTTGGGCCGAATCTACGTTTTACAAATAACACAAGACGGTCACGGGCAAGTGAAATTTTCGTAGTAGGACGTCTTCGCGCTAATCAAAAGCTCCCTTATCGTCTGCATATTTCTATGATTGAACCGATAACATTGAGGTTGAAAGGCGGCCGCGTTAAATACTTATAATGAGCTGATACATAGAGCAGCAGTTACCGGGGTGAAAATATGAATAACTATGTCCGTATATATAAATGCTTGCATTTTTCCCCTTTAAGTAGATCTTGATTATAGTAGCAGTTTCATCGTGGTAAACTCCCATGCATGCGCATGTAAACACCGCCATATGGGTCGGGTTCAAACTCATTTGTATCTGTGATGAAGGCAAAGTCGCATTTGATAATTGTACATGATTGATACGAGAAATATTTTAAAATAAATCTAAACTACAAGTGGAAACATGCAACCAGACTACTAGGTTCCAGGTGTCACTCAGAAAGGGTAGTAAGTCCTACATTCTAGGCAACAATTTTGTAAGGATGTTAATAAGAACTTAACTTGAAAATTTTACTGCCTGGTGGTTACACGGTGGCGGCGGAATAAGGAAGGGTTTTTAGAATTGGATTCTACTGGAAGATATTAAAAATGAAATTTGAACTACTGCTAATAATATAAAACAAAAGCGATGTATGATGTAAAGAATCACGGCGGTTATTCACGTCTGCAGGCTTTACCAGTTTCACATGTGGCTCCTTCGTAACCCTCCACACATGCGCACGTAAAGCCGTTTACGATATCTGTACATACGCCATCATTTAGACACGGATCTGGTTCACACTCATTTATATCTGTGGAAAAGGCGCACTTGTATGTTAATATATCAAACGATATCAACATTGTATTTTCATTGCTAAGAATATGCGGTGTTCCGAAAAACATAAACAGTACCGGTACTCCAAGTTAAAATTCGTACGCACACACACCTTTGGTATACCAAGGGTAGTATATTTTTTCATGAAAGTATGTCAGTGATCGGTTGGTATTGATTAATAATAACATGTTAACGGCAAAGCAATCTGTAGCATTTTCCTATTTGGCACCATGGATTTTATTTATTTTTAAAATTTTTATTTCAACAATATTTTGTGAGGGTGGTCCATCCAGCCTGAGCTGATCAATTGGGACCCTCAGTACATACAATTAAAACATAAGTATAAAAATTAAACTTGATATTTAACATAAGTAAGTTAATTAAATTAAACCAGGAAAAAATTAATAATAATAATAATAAAAATAATAAAAATCAGGAAAAAAAAACCAGATATAGGCCTACAATATATAAATTATATAAAATAATGATTTAAGGAAAACATTAAAATAAAAAAATTTAAAAAATTGTCATATTGGACAGAAAAATAATTGAAATAAAAAATAAAGCAAAAGTATAAATGAGAAGATAATTAATTGGACTAACAAAAATAGAAAAATTATAAAAGATTATAAAAGATAAATAATTTACAATTTAAAACAGAACAAAATCTTGCAACAAAAAAATATTGCAACAAAAAGAGATGGCCACAGGGAAAATTACACAAGATTAGATGAAAGATAGCTAAGAAGGTTGGATTTGAAAGAAGAGAAAGGGAAAATAGAACGGACAATCGGTGGAAGAGAGTTGTAGATGTAAGGACATTATAGCTGAATGATGTTTTTAAGATTTCTAGATTAGGCTTAGGAATGAGAAGATCACCGGTGTTAGTGATTTTTCTTGTGGTCATACGGCCATTGGCAACAATCTTTTTAAGGCATTGACAAAGAGTTTGTGGAGCTAGGTTATGAAGAGCTTTGTAAGTTAAACAGCAGAGTTGAAATTGAGAAAGGGGAAGGGTATTGGCAGATCTGAAATGATTGGGAGTAAGGTGAGTGGTAGGAGAAAGTTTCAGTAAGATACGAATGGCTCTGTTCTGGATCTTCTGAACTTTAGATAACGAGGTAGATTTTGATCCCAAAACTGAGCAACAATAGTCAAGGCGCGAGAGAAACAAAGAATTGTAAAGTATTTGAAGGGTAGAATCATTAGTAAATTTTGAGGTTCGTGCAAGAAGATAGACAATAGAGTTAAGTTTCTTACAAAGGGAAGATGTGTGAGACTTCCATGTTAGCGTGTTATCAATAATTACGCCTAAGTGTTTGTGGGACGTAAGGGATAGAATTGGATGGTTATCAAGATGACGATTAAGATTGTTATTAGTGGATTTTAGTTTGCGCGGAGAACCAAGTAGCAGAGATTTAGTTTTTTGAATGTTAAGAGTTAGCTTGTTAGATTTTGACCATGAAGATAGAAGATGAAGAGTTTAGTTTTTGTTCAATGAGTTTAAGAGAAGTGTTGCTGTAATAAATTATTGTATCATCAGCATACATATCGATAATATGAACATTAGGATCAGAGTTAGTAAGTGTTAAAGACAGGTCGTTAATGTAAATAGTGAACAAGGGGGGGGGGGGCTTCCCCACATATGCACACGAACCCGTTTACAACACATGATGCTACTACTTTGGATACGAATCTGACTTGCAGTCATTCGACGAAATAAAGGTACACTTAAAAAAAAAATACACATCCAACGGTCTCGAAATACACAAACGAAGGCCTAATATTCTTAGCAGATCAAACCGATGCTACTGACATGGGAAAGTGAGCATGTTATTCATCAAGCTAAAATGCGTGTTGGTTGATTCTGTAAACACACGGCAGCAAACCTCCACCCTCCCCCCCCCCCTCCCAAAATGAAAAAAAAATATTACCCTTGAAATAAGTATTAACGAAATAAATTGTTATGCAAAATGTCCCCAGCGACATTTAACAATGTCTTGCTTAGGAAGGCATTTAAATATGAGCGGTGGCGTGATTGACGAGAGGCTAATACAAGTCAGCACCACAAGTACCAACTTAATCCAATTAACAATTAAAACATCGATAGAGGGAGTTATAGCCACCGGGCAAGCGTATGCAACTACTGTATCTACTACAGAATGTGAAATATTGCTGGTGAAGCTGGTTAATGATTACAAGTATTAGTCCTGTGACGTAATATTCTCTTAGCAACCATCTCTTCTTGCTTTATAGATCTATTGAATAAATTGAACTTGAATAACACTAATACAAATGTACTATATAGCCATTGACATGATCTAGTTACTGGCAAAGCGAGGGTCCACAAGGGAAGGCGTGACTACAAAGGGATAACACTGTGGTTGGGTGAAAGTTTAGTGACGTAACCAGTCTCACCAATTTCACACGTATTCCCTTCATAGCCATCTGCGCATGTGCAAGTAAACCCGTTTACAGCGTCGGTGCAAGCACCGCCATTCAGACAAGGTTCGGGCTCACAGTCGTTAATATCTGGAGAAAAGACAAACTTATAAATTCTAAGATATGCGAGAATTACTAAATAAGACACATTTTAGGCCAAACATACCCCTTCTTCTTACGCTTGATACATGTGATTTAACAAGTATTCTAAATCTATAACAAGTGTTGAGATTTAATCACACTTTCTAGAGATGAGGCCTACTGCATTCTGCAATATATCATTCTTTAGTAACAAATTAGGTTATGACAATATACGGAGTTGGTTGTACAGTAAGAAAGTAATTCTATCCACTCAAGAACAATGGAAAATACAAGAAATCCGAGGTACGTCTAATGCTAAAAACGATATAAACTTAAACCTACTTAAAGTTAGCTACGGCTTTTATTGAGTGGACATTTAGTGACGTAAATAGGCTCACCAATTTCACAATTATCCCCTTGGTAGCCATCTGCGCATGTGCATGTAAACCCGTTTACAGCGTCGGTGCAAGCGCCACCATTCAAACATGGCTCGGGCTCGCAGTCGTTAATATCTGGGGAAAAAAGTAGTCTAAATCGTTACAATACAGTCAACGGTAAATGCCCGCTAAATAGGAGGAATATATGTGTAATGAAAAACGATAATGTTGTCATTACAGTATGTGACATTTTAGTGACGTAACCAGTCTCACCAATTTCACAAGTATTCCCTTGATAGCCATCTGCGCATGTGCAAGTGAACCCGTTTACAGCGTCGGTGCAGGCGCCGCCATTCTGGCATTGCTGAGGTTCACAATCGTTAATGTCTGGGGGGAAATATAGACTAGAGAATTGTAAGAAATGCTAAAATATTATCACAAGCGCATCCCCTGCCCTTATGAAACAACCATCGGGAAAAAAGTCAAAAGGTAATTTAATAATAGCTATAATTTCGACACAGGTTAAAGTTTAATCCTGTCATACCAATTCAAGAAAATGTTGCTACATAGGAGGAATACGTGTACTAAAACTATATAGGGAATGCTTTTATTGGTGAAGGCGATTATAAGTTATACTCTCACCAATATCACAGTTATCCCCTTGGTAACCATCTGCGCATGTGCAAGTGAACCCGTTTACAGCGTCAGTGCAAACGCCGCCATTCAAACATGGCTCGGGCTCACAGTCGTCAATATCTGGAGAAAAGACAAACTTATATAGGAATAAATTTAAAGATATGCGAGAATTACTTAATAACGCACATTTTACTCCAAACATAGGCCTACCCTTTCTTACGCAGGCGATTGAATAAATATTCTAAATCTATAATAAGTTTTGAGATTTAATCACACTTTGTAGAGACGAGGCCTACTGCACTCCGGAATATATCATTCGTTAGTAACAAATTAGGTTATGAAAACACGAGTTTGTTGTTCACAAATGCTGACTACTCAAAGACAATAGAAAATACAAGAAATCCGAGGTACGTCTAATGCTGAAAGCCATATAAACTCAAACCTACTTAGTTAGGCCTAGCTACGGCTGTTATTACGTGGATATTTAGTGACGTGATTAGGCTCACCAGTTTCACAATTATCCCCTTGGTAGCCATCTGCGCATGTGCATGTAAACCCGTTTAGAGCGTCGGTGCAAGCGCCGCCATTTAAACATGGCTCGGGCACGCAGTCGTTAATATCTGGGGGAAAAAGTAGTATAAATCGTTACAATACAGTCAACGGTAAATGCCCGCTAAACAGGAGGAATATATGTATATTGGAAAACGCTAATGTTGTCATTACAGTATGTGAAATTTTAGTGACGTAACCAGTCTCACCAATTTCACAAGTATTCCCTTGATAGCCATCTGCGCATGTGCAAGTGAACCCGTTTACAGCGTCAGTGCAAACGCCGCCATTCAAACATGGTTCGGGCTCACAGTCGTCAATATCTGGAGAAAAGACAAACTTATATAGGAATAAATGCTAAGATATGCGAGAATTACTTAATAACGCACATTTTACTCCAAACATACCCTTTCTCACGCGGGCGATTGAATACATATTCTAAATCTCTAATAAGTTTTGAGATTTAATCACACTTTGTAGAGATGAGGCCTACTGCACTCCGGAATATATCATTCGTTAGTAACACATTAGGTTATGACAACACGAGTATGCTGTCCACAAATGCTGACCACTCATAATAGAAAATAGAAAATATAGAAATCCGAGGTACGTCTAATGCTGAAAGCGATATAAACTCAAACCTACTTAGGCCTAGCTACGGCTGTTATTTAGTGACGTGATTAGGCTCACCAATTTCGCAATTATTCCCTTGGTAGCCATCTGCGCATGTGCATGTAAACCCGTCTACAGCGTCGGTGCAAGCGCCGCCATTCAAACATGGCTCGGGCTCACAGTCGTTGATATCTGGAGAAAAGATCGGACTACAACATAATGAAAGCTAAGGTATTGAATGATGGTACATGCTAGCTAGTGTAGTAGGCTTATGTGGATACTTGTATGCTACGTAAGGATTGCTAACACTTTGATTGGATGAAAGTTGTGTCTCACCAATTTCACAAGTATTGCCTTGGTAGCCATCTGCGCATGTGCAAGTGAACCCGTTTACAGCGTCAGTACAAACGCCGCCATTCAGACATGGCTTGGGCTCACAGTCGTTAATATCTGGAGAAAAGATCGGACTACAAAATTGTAAAACAGCTAAGGTGTTGAACGAAGCTACATGTGTAGTAGGCCTATGTGGATACGGGTATGTCTACGTGAGGATGTCTAACACTGATTGGGTGAAAGTTTTGTCTCACCAATTCCACAAGTATCCCCTTGGTAGCCATTTGCGCATGTGCAAGTGAATCCATTTACAGCGTCGGTGCAAGCACCGTTATGCTGACATGGCTGGGGTTCACATTCGTTAATATCTGGTGGAAAATATTGACTATAACATAATAAATGTTAGATAATGAAATAAGCGAAGGGGTGCTCGTGTACTAAAAGTGCCGCATACGCCACTAAGGTTAAGCAGTAGCGTATCTAGCGTGTCTTGAAATGGGGTGCTGATTGGGGGGGGGGGGGGTGTGGGGGGGGGGGGGGCGAATGTGAAGTGGGGAAGCTCGATGATTAGTTGAGGAGCACTAACTCGCAAAATAAGGTGATTTTAGGTAATTTCTAACTACTTGCAAGTGATTTGGGGGAGCGCGAGTAATTTTTGGAGGTACGTCCCTCCCCCCACCTCGCACCCCTGATACGCCACTGAGGTAAAGTAGTGTTACTTATAGGGAAGAAATGTTTAAATAGTGCAAGCGATGGGTAAATTTTTATACTAACAATAAGAGTCTATAAAATGTTAGATCTATTAGACTATCTTTAATAGCCAATAGATGTCCAATACATTACTAACAAATGTTTTTATACAAAAGGATTGAAATGGGCCTATATTAATAACAACGTAGGAGGATCTTTTTAAAATTTACGGGCGCCAGAACTCAAAGACTATTGTTTGCTTGTGTAGAAAAGAAGCTTTATTTTAGATTCATAAATGTAACATGTTTATAATTAGGCATACATGCAAATAAGGACTGGAGTGGTTTTAATTTTCTACTGGTTCTTTACTAAACCCTCGGTGGCCAGAATGTCATAAATCGGTGTTCTCACCCGTTTCACACCTATCGCCTGTAAACCCTTCTGGGCATGCGCAGTTAAACGCATTCAGAAGATCTGAACATGCCCCGTTATTTAGACAAGGTGATGACGTACACTCGTCTATGTCTGTAGAATATCAATGTCAGAAAATTACAATAATCAATTTTTATCAATATGAACATTGTAATTATGAATCGTTTTAGATAATAATAACATTTTAAGTCGTAATCGTAAAATAAAGGTTAACAAAGCAAGAGTTTCTATAGAATTGCTTATTGAGTTAATCTGTGATAGTCGCTTAAAACACAATCCTAGACCTAACATTGTAAATCGAAGATTTCAAAGAAAATTGCTTCGACTAGGTTGATCACTACAGTATTAATACAATAATAAAATATTTATGAACAGTCTATGGTATTGTCTACTGAAATAATTTTATAACATCGTGGTAAAGTTGTTTTAAGTAAAAAAAAACAAAACAATATACCGTCAGACTGAATTCTAAACAAACTTTCTCACCAGTTTCACACTCGTCTCCTTCAATACCGTTTGGACATTCGCATAAATATCCGTTCGCTCCGTCTACGCATTCACCGTTATTCGCGCACGGCAAAGACGCACACTCATTGAAGTCTAAAAGCGTTCATATGGGAAAAGTAATGACAATAATATTATAGCGAATATTAAATAATAGTAGTAAGATATTAAAGACAGAAAGCATTTAGACCAACACGTGGGTGTTATGTGAAAGCAAAGTATTAACGCTTAAACGGTACCGTAACAAAGAACGTAAACCACTGATTGGTTACAACAGACGAGGAGGGATAAAATAGTGATATTCAATTCATACTTCGTAAAATATATTTTATGATTGATAATGCTTATTGTGATAGAAGGCGACAGGGTGAGGGAGGAAGTTGAGAAAATGCAATCAAGATTATATTAAATGAATGGTAAAGTTGTGGGTGAGATATGATGATCGGTGTGGGACGTGTGGGAAAAGAAGAAGAATTCCATTAAAGGGAAGAGCAAAGTGAGAACGGTTGAGTGACATCAGATTGGGTAAGGAGTTAACGTATATCAATGGTAACGTGGTTAAGGATGAGTCAATCTGGTATGGGAATGGGTTGATTGCTCTCACCAGTCTCGCAAACTGTTCCTGAAAACCCTTCGGGACATTCGCAAACAAACATGTTTACGCCATTGGTGCACACCCCATTGTTCTGACATGGATTCGATGCACATTCATCTATGTCTGTTGAAAAAAGCCATTCAAATACGTTAAGCATCATATAGGCCTAGCTACTGTACATAGTTTTGGAATATATCTCATCTCATAAGTGTCCCGACAGTACAGAAAAGGGTAATGAGACGAATTAACTAGCTGATGAACGCCATAGTCGTTAAACATGCTTGATTACGCTCCGTTGTAGTAGATTGAATAGTTTACTTGAAGTTTGCAATTTTAGTAGACAAAGTGAAGAAGATGGTGGGAAATCACAGGTGCCCTACTTTGCCCCGGACCAGCGTGTTTGGTGTTCATAAATTGAACTTATTTAACCAAAAATGTTAATAACGCTGATAAAAATAGATACGTATATATACGATACTTTCTTACGTCGCTCAAGTCATCCGTTGACATCCTGTTGCTCGAAACATAAAAGGAAATGATATAAAGTTATATTTACCATTTTGACAGATCGTTCCATCAAAACCATCTAAGCAGACACACGAGAACATGTTGACGTCATCTACGCACTGGCCTTCATTTTGGCAAGGACCAGAAGCACACTCATCAACATCTAAGAAGGTAGGATAAATCATTGGCATTAATATACAAAACATGTAATCCTTAATGAAAGTTGTTGAAGGGTTGCATGGTTTGGTCTGGGATCTGCGGTTGTTACAAACTCTCTTCAACATTTAGAGGAATAGAATCAAACGCGACACTTAAATAGGAACTATATGGAGATTACCAGAAACGGTGAAGCTATAGCTATGCAGACACCATATTTCCAGTTGTTGACGTGATAGGTCGGAAAACATTAAAAAGCACTTATAAGAAGCTATTTTCTAGCTATAAAATTATATTCTAATAGGCTATAGTTAAGTTTTTTTCACGTTTTAACCAACAACATTGGCCTATATAATGAATAAAAATAGTTCGCCACCAAAAAAGAAGAGTCTCATGTATGTTACTTTGCACTATCAAAATTGGCATTTAGATGTGAATGTTTCCTACGAGGAAGGATTTTAATACAGGCGTGTTCAATCATAGCTGTACTTAAAGCGTAGAGTGATGTAAATTGTCATGTGATTCTAAAATCGGATCAGTACGTGTAACGTGCCTTTTCGAACACCATATCCGGTGTAGTGAAAACAGCTATTGAGACGTGTTCGTCAATACTACACACTGGCCAAACACGACTTTTAGCTAAATATTGAGAAATATATCTAAAAGTGGCTACACATTTTTGCTCTATTGATTCATTTTTTATCTATAAGGTGCAGTTTTCTTTCTCAATATGTTTGTATACTTTGTACATTCTTAGAAAGGCCAATTTTGCTATTGAAGACTTGATTTTCGTTTATGTGTGATATTTCCTCCCCATCCTGGAATTTTCCTGCCCTGTGTGGGATGGAAGCTTGTCTAAAGCTCAAATTAAAAGCATTGATAGAGTGCAGAAAAGAGTTCTGTGCATTATTTTAGGTCCCGTCTTTTCGACGTATGAGGCTGCACTTGAGTGCACAAACCTCACCACTCTCCACTTCAGGAGAGACGCCCTTATCCTCAACTTTGGGGACAAGATTATGAAATCTGATATCTATAGGTACATCCTTCCCAATTACCGTGTTGCTGCGAGAGAGGTTAGATCTACTTCTCTAAATAACCTCCGGATGTGTATAAGAGACAGTTGATATCCCATTTGGCAGGACTAACAGATTCAGAAATTCTCTGGTACCATTAGCAAAATTCTCAATAAGTATAGGTAAACATTTTGATTAATAAGTACAATTTCTGTGTAGTAGTAGTTTTGTATAACCTTGATCTTGATCTGTGTGTGTGTTTTTTGGGGGGTTTTTTTGGTGGTGTGTTTGTTGTGGGCTTGAATCTTTTTTTTTGTGGTTTGTTAAACAAATTTCCTTTTTGCTGTTTTATATTTGCTTTTTATTTCGATGGTCTCTTGTAAATTTAATCATTTACGTGTGTGTTTTGAGCGTATGCAAGTTTACTTTTTTTTCTTCATGTTTTTTTATGTAATTTTGTAAATTTTGATGATTGTGTATATATAACCCTATTTTTATAAATTAATTATTGAGTAATTAGATTGTGAATTACATTTATATTTTTGTATTGTTTGGAACTGTATGAGTAATTTTTTGCCTGTATTTTTATATTGTAAACCAACGATTTCAGACTACAGGGGGACTGTTTTGGTGTTTTTTGTTCATACCTTCAATAAAGAAATAAATAAAATAACGTTTTCATAAAGAATTCAAATAATACGTACCAGTTTCACAGTCGTTTCCAGAGTAGCCAGAAGTGCAAACACACGTATATCCGTTGAGGGCGTCTGTACAGGCACCATTGTTCTGACATGGTCCTGCTACACAATCATCCACATCTACGAAAAAAATGCACATGAGTCCTGCTAGAATATTGCACAGCAACAACGAAAATAATAATAAAATGATAATAACAATAACAATAGTATTTGTTTTGACTGGTAGTGAAAGAAAATGTAACGAGAACTTGCCGAGTTCACAATGATCTCCCCCGTAGCCTCCCGAACAAATGCATGCGTACATATTCTCTCCATCTTCACAAGCACCGTCATTTTGGCACGGCAAGCTAGCACACTCGTTAATATCTAAAAATATAACAATGTAAAATAGTGTTATAAATCTGAAATGATATTTTACCAAACCATCCGTCATTGGTAAATATCGTCAATTAGTAAATGCAATCATTTTGCTTATTGCCCAAACCACTAGACATCATTGTCAGCATCAACATCGTCATCATCATCATCATCATCATCATCAAAATTATTGACTGTAGAATTCTTATCCTCATTATTATCACCACAATTGCCACTATCATCATTCACCACAATCATCATAATTCCCATCCTCATCATATCATCACCCATCATCATCATCATCATCATTATCATCATCATCATCATCGTCATCACCACCACCACAATTAGCACCATCATCACCACAACTATCATCATTATTCCCACATCATCATTATCCTCAGCATCACAATCATCATCATCATCATCATCATTATCAAATATCATCAATGCTACGGTAGAGTACTGCGGTACGTCTACTACCAGGCCTATAATCATTACCATTATTATCATAACTAGCCACCTTCATATAGTTCTAAAATATCAAATATTAAATGATTAGACCTACATGAAATAGGCCTAATATTATAAAACTATTAATGATATCTCACTTGTTTCGCAATTTGTTCCTTCAAATCCCTCTACGCATGTGCAGGACCAGGCGAGAAAATCATCCACGCATGTTCCTCCATTTTCACAGGTAATACCCAGACAATCGTCACTATCTAAATTTATGATACAGTAAATATGTAATAACAGTTATTTTTCATTAGAGTAAAATACACATACACTGCGCAAATTATTAAAACTATAGAATCACAATGCCCATGGGTCACAGAATATTTTTGTCATTTATGTAGAACTGTTTAATGTTTTCCCGACTTATATTTATGTATTTGTCGTTGGGTTTTGTGTATTTGGAGAACGTGTCGGGTTAGAGGTGGTTGCTCTCTCATTGGATTTTTTTTCTATTTATATATGTATATTTTTGTACTGATTCCAGTGAAAAGTCGAATAAAATAAAATAAAATAAAACAATTAAAATAATCCCAAAGAATAGAGATAGACCTTTCCCCTCCCCAATAAAACGTGTATGTTTTGTACTGTTGTGAAAATGATCATAATTTTAAATCCACACGAACAACCTGTTGATCTTAGCAAAGCTAAATATTTATGTAATGTTGTTTGATTTGTTTTTTTTAATCACACAAATAAGAAATTTAAAACAAAATAATTAAAAGAATATATACATATATATATATATTTATATATATAATATTATATATATTCTATCGTTTGAGAAAGTTGAATGCAAATTGCGACCTACCGACAATGGACACGTCATCGATGGCGATGACGCTAGCGGCTGATGCGCCCCTTATTGCTTCAAAAACAATCTAAAATTAAGGAAGTGTAGAGATATTTTGTTGTCATGATACCGCACAAATACAAAACTGGTTTTAAAACGCTAATGCATTATATTTGTTTTTGAGAGAATTTATTAATATTGTAAGATATTATAATTGTCATCATCATGTCATGATAGCGACAATTATAATTGTCATTATCATTATCATATCATAATCAAATACCGATATGATTTATCGTTTATTGTTCGTTGTTAGTCCTCCTGACACTTACGTTCAAAATGACGGAAGATTATTATCTTTGATTCATTATCAGTGTTATTATTTCTGGCCAGACAATTACCTTAATATCACCATCTATGCCCGAGACGTCATAATTAATAGTTCCCTCTATCCATTCATCTCCTTGGTTTCCTGACCTGGTGAAAACAGGACCACTAAAACTAGTGACGTCACAGCCGACTACGTATACATTTAATGTGCCCATGTCCTCACCGTACATATGGTAATAGAAAGTCATATCTAACGTCGTAGACAGTGAATAGCAGGGAGAGATGAGTCGAGCTGTTTCTCCCTCTGTTAAATCCTGACTGCCCACTACGTCTTTTAGGACCATGTAGTATGGAGGTTGCGCTGTAACGACATTAATGTAACACAAATAAGGTTTATATATTAATTTTATTCAATTTGTGGGATGGAAGCTTGTCTAAAGCTCAAATTAAAAGCATTGATAGAGTGCAGAAAAGAGTTCTGTGCATTATTTTAG